CATTCAGGCTGGTCTGTGTTTCTGGGACAGCAACATCTTTATATCATTAGACGATCGAATCTGCTCGAAGAACAATGGCGGTCCTGGCGTCTCGGCACCTCGACTCATTGCTCTCAGGGACCAGTGGCTCTTGAAGCGCCGTTAACGCCGTCGGTCGAAGAAGGGCTTAACGTACTTCGGGCTACAATGTGCCCATTGTGGCGGTGGGAACCTCTCACGTTGCGAACAAGATCGGAGACGTCTGACGGGAGTACCTTCGTTTAGGCGATAAGCATGCCTATCAGGACGTTCCGTCGGATGCGTTTGCGTTGTTTCAAGTTGTTTTTTTTTTCGCGAATTTCATTGTGCTTACGATACTTCCAATTCAATTTTTCTTTAACAGTACGGAATTTCTGAAGATATTGGAAAATAAGTTTTAATGCAAAATTCTTTACACCAAAATTGGTAAGGGAAGGTCTCTACGAAGAATCAAAGTGTCTTTAGTCTTAGGATTGTAATAAGTTGAAACTTGAAGTCCAGAATTACCATTATTATTATTATCAATGCACCAGCGGCAATAGCATAACAGGAGTGGGAGTCCGAAGAAAGAGAGATATCGCGAACTGGTGATGAAGACACGAATCCAAATTAGACCGCGCCCCCACCCCCCTCATTAGGCAAATCCAAAAAGTAGATTTCCAAGTGAAAAGTGGTTTAGCATATAAATTTATTCAAAAAGTTTCGCAATTTAAATATCTGCGGTGTTTCAATCAAGGGGGCGGTGCCATAGCACGTACACAGCACATTCTGTATCCACGACACTCCGATCTATCTGGTCCACACGCTTGCTTGACGTTACTACATAATGTTAAAATTCACGGTGTATTATTTTCACCCTTAAGAATTTTAATAACACATACGGCCAGTTCCTTGAGCATTAAGCAAAGCTTCGATCCTATTAAAAAGTTCATAGAACTCAGAAAGGCCACGGAGCGAAACGGCTTACTTCTTTTTCCCGGGCGGCCTTCGTAATATTTTGGTACTGGTACTGATATTTGCTTGTTAACATTTCTCCCCTCTTTTTCCTCTAACGACCCCGGCTCAAATATTACGCGAACTTGGGAATACCAACGAAATTGAGGCACGGGAACATGGGGTGCGCTGCGCTGCTGATTATTGTGTAAACTGGACGTATATAAAGAGTCAGTTCTTATAGGATGATCTCGTTTCGTTATATTCTTTTGCCGAAGCTGCTCCTTGATGCCAACAGAGAAATCGTAACCAGGTTAGATGGAATCCTTTGGGCAAACCGCGATACTCTCTGCTACTGAATATTCACTACCCCTCCGCCTGTTACCCAGTAGAAAAAAGGTCTTATAAAAAAATTCACCCCATCCCCGAAAAGGGATGATCGTATGGGTACCTATGGACAATCGACGCAGACCCGGTGTGGCTAGGGGTCACGGATGCGCACCGCGGGGAGCAAGAACGTCGGTCTGACTCGTAATCGAAGGGAAGCTTAGCGGCGTTTCGTGTCTGGAATTCCTTTAGACTGAATCATCTCCCAGTATAAGCCATGGAAGCGCATCGCTCGAATACAGCGAAAACAATAGAGGCTTGGCCGTCGCGAACTCGATTTGCCCCCGAGTGGGATTGGCTCGTGCCAGTATGAAGGGGTTGGCCCTCGAATACACACAGAGGCGAGAGGGTGCTCGTTTATCGGTCTCTAGATGTCAGGGTGGAAGGGTTTGCATACACATTCATTGATATGCAAAATTTGTAGTTTCCAGAAGCTTACGAACTCAGCGCAGGTAAACTTCGATTCGAAATGCGCGCCCGCGGCAAACCATTGTCAGCGGATGTGTTCGGTTCGTGAAACTCTACGTGTACGGTACCCACAATAGGAGGTAGCCGTTAATTCATCACTAAATATTCCGGGACTATGCCCTACAGCCAGGACGAGAACTATCAAATGTCATAGCTAGATAAATGGAGTTGCTACTATATAATTGAAGCTGTGAACCCGTTGCTGATAGCGAAAAATGACCATTTTCTATATTTTTACTTTATGATCCTTGATATACCACCCTTGTCTCTTAATTGGCGCATGATTTAACAAAGCACCGTAAGTGAAGCTATTTAGGTCAATTGCCATGACGTAATAAATCTTACGCCGTATTTCCACGTAATAACGATATCTGAGCCAGAAACAGAGGGCAGTTAATTAGCCCGTGTTAAAAGCTTTGCTTAAACGACCTATTCAACGCTTAAAATGCGGATTCTGCGCACCCTGCAGAACCATCCGGTGCATACACAGTGTCTCAAGTGGAGTGGATATTTATGCGAGTTACTTCATAGCCACCCTTCGTTCTTTCTTTATCGTATTCCAGAGTGGCTCTACTTCAGAAATAGAAAGAGACCGAGAAAGTGAGACTCCCGCGGATAGTACCAGTCTTCTCCCGATAGAGGCGCAACGGGCATGACTAAATGTGAAATCCATTAGGAAGCGTCTGAGTTCGGATAGCGTTGACCTTAATGAAAAATCATTACCTTATCTGTGAACATCAGGTAGAACCAGGGTAGCGACGCGAGGGTGGACAGAAGACGCGAGACGTTGGCAATGCGTTTCATTACGAGCTGAGACGACGTCCAATCTTTCCTTAACGAGAATATCTACCAGGTTAATAGTAACAGTAGTCAATGGCCGTCGAACTCTAACGATTCTCCATTCACAAGTAACATTCGAAGTCTAATCATTTCCATTCCGTGACCCTATAGAAGTTTTGGAGGATCTTGCGATAGCGTCAGTCACATCTTACACCCTGACTTCCGTTCTAACGAGACTTCATGTTATTCCGCTGAACTTCGAAATCCCAGGCGATTTCGTTACTAGGCAAATCCAACGGTTTTCTATGCTAGGCCAAAATTGAATCTACGTACACCCTGCGTCCTGGCACGCGCTATGCTTTCAAATTACGACACCTAGGTTATCGCGGAAGCAAAAAGGAAAAGTGGCGGCGTGACGTTAGGCTAATTGAAATTGTGCAAGGTTGCCGTCTCCGCCTTTTTTTCCTCACCGCTTCTATCTCACTCTCTCTTTCGGCGATATAGCTCGGATATTCATATAGGAGCAGGAGAGGCAGATGCATAGAGAAGCACAGTGGCAAATGTCAAAGGGAAAGAGAGCGGTAGCAGAGGGTTGGTGTACACCGGTGAAAATTTTCAAAAGGGTGTAAATCCTGAAAGTGTGATTGCTCGTACAGTATAGTAGAACTGGGAGTGCCCCATAGTAATTTATAACACGAGTTAAGCATTTCGGCTGGTTTTAATTACAATGGCAAATATTATCGGACTGACGGAAGCTAATTATATAATTAAAACTTGCAGAGTAAACTACCTTCCCAGTGAGCCGTCGAGATTGACGGCCCTAGGTACCTCCCAACCTCAACCTTTCATTTGACTTTCGCTGCCTATTATACTCCCTGCTACTGTGGGGGGTCGGATCGGTTCGCTTACTTCATCATCGGTTATTCGTGCAAGGTGCTCGAGTGCATGCGATCTACGAAATACCTCGGGACGATAATCGCCACCCTTGCAGAAGAAGTCTCTGCACCCTTTTAGATCCCCGGGATCTGGTGAAATACTCAACGTCGTCCGCCTGGCATTTTGAGCTTTTCGGCGACGGGTACCTGAATAGTAATTGCTAGATGCGGAAGGGTCGGGCGTATAATACTGTGATGGTATTACAGGATTATGAGATTTCTATGAGAAGGCGGATAGGACCAGGTTAAGAAGGGGATGTCCTAAGTGTATATATATATAGGTCATTCTAGGGTTTATGATTTAATGAAATTCTTATAAAAATAATAACCCAGCTCTACGTCCATTATCTCCATGAAACAGACATTCCCAGCGCGCTGGATTCCCGCATTATCAACTGTACCAGCAATTTCGTGTGTATACCATCCACCTTAATCTCCTGGAATGAGATACTTGCTTTAAATGTTTACCTTCATCGTGATTAGCGGCCATCCACGCCGCATGGAGATGAGTTCAGTTTATCGGTCATACGAAACGGCGCTTATATCTCACGATGTAGCAAAAGCGATTCGCTGAGGTTCGCGTCGAGGAAACTCGCCCCAAAGCATTCGTCTGTGCAAACAATTTCAATGAGCTTCAACTAATCTGGCGCAGCTACGGGGTAGAGGTTGACGGCGAAGTAATGTATCATCGTGGGCTTTATAGATGTTGGTGAAAGTGTGCGGTCCACGTGCTCAAGAGTGACATAGACTACGGACAAGATGCGAAGAGAAATCCAAACGGATTCAAGAGGGTTGACAGTTGTTGGGAAAGAGCGGAGAGCGGAGGAAGGGAAAAGTACATTAAAAAAAAAAATAAATAAAAAAAAAGAGATGGAAAGACGAAGCGCAGCAGCGTGAAGATAGTCGAGTGGGTTTTCGAAGTTAACTGGAGCGTCGTCTGATTCGATCACAGTTACCATTGGAGCGAAAAATCCCATTTTATAATTAGTACCCGGTAGCCGTGGATGGTAGTGCAGTGCGGCATGGCGCGGCAACCGGGAAAATCAAGATAACGGACTGCGAAAACTGTGCCGGGTCGGCGCACTCAGCGAGGTCTTTTCCTTTTCCCTATTTTCCCTCTTGAGCGATCGGCGCAACGCAGCGCGCGAGAGTAGTCGTCGTTGACTCAGCAGTAGAGACTCGACGGAGCTAAAGGAATATATTCATCAAAGCAGTCGCACTTGCACGTGGATTTAAAGTCTCGTTTTCCTCTCGAAAGGTTCGTGCTCCGGAATAAACAAGTTCTAATTGCCAGGGATTTGCCTCGAGCCCGTCGTACGATTACACTTCTTCTAATTTCTTTAGTTCTCATAAGTTCTACGAGGAGTTGATTTCTACGACCGAAATGGTCGAAATGGTTGATGCGACCGAATGGATCGCGAGTCCGACCCGGTCCATTGTCAATTTTACTAACGGGTGTCGTTATTTTCTTTGTTTCAGGCATAAGCGGAAAGTTCAGAACCTGTTGCCGTGCAAGAGCGCAGCAGGAGCAGCAGCCGCAGGTCGCGCGAGGGTGCTGCCGGATGGGCAGCCTCACCCAACTCCCGGGACAGGTGGTCCAGTTCTGTACGAGGATCTCCCGGAAGCCATGGGCCACTCTCAGCTTCACAATCATCACCCGGGTCATCCGAGCCAACCTACGATCGAGGTACGAGCAAACCCTGAACAACGTGCCCGAGTCCCGGCTCCGCACCACCTCGACTATCTCGACTACCGGGATCCCAGGGCAATCCTGCGTGTTGCCGACAAGCCGTCCAGGGCCGTACTCGGGGGATACCGTACTCCGCGTGCCCTCCTTGCCAAATCCCAAGGGGTGCCTTTATCGATAACCACCCACTCGCCTCTGCCAAATGCCACTCCCCTCGTGCAGAATCACCTGCTCGCTACACAGAATGCTTTGATCACCAGTCAACAGTCAACCCCTTGCTCTATCCCTGAGACGCACTCGCCAATCACCCCCACTCGCATACGCACCAATAACCTCCCCATAACTCCAACCCATCGGCCTCGAATGCGCACCCCTACGCACGCTCCTGCGAGTCTACCGCCCTCTTCACCGTTACCCTCGAGATTACTCAACCAGGAAAATACGCGACGAAGACCCTCGGTAGATTCGGAAGGTTACTCTTACATAGACTTCAAGGACACGGAGCTCGATCGCAAAAGGAATCCCCTCAAATTTCGAAACCAACCGCCACCCCGTCTTGCCGAGAAATTACTCTCGTCCAGGTCGAGCTCCTTGGACTCGGAGGGCTACTCGTATATAGATCTGAATTACAGAAGGGCACCGGGCACTGCCAAAAGGGTTCTGACCGACGGTACCGAGGAGGAGGTGTGTCCCCTCTGTACGATTCAGCAGATCCACCAGCTCCTCGCGAGACCCGAGGACGTCTACCTGAACGTTCAGGATACGTGACAGGATACCGGTGAGCCTCGTCGCGTAGATACATTAAAAGGGTTAGGTCCTACCGCGTGAGTATGCTCTAAAATCGCGTACATAACATATCCGGTTATATAGAGACACTGAAGAACCCTAGATAAAAAAAGGAAGCTACACGTATACCCGTATATATACATGTGTATCTATGTAAATAATATATATGTATATATACTCGATACTTCCTAGGACCTTATAATTTCGAGCTACGATTCATTAGTTTTGTACGTCATTAGAGATAAGAGAAGCCGGTCACAGGCAGACTAGTCAGTATTTATTTTGTTACATGGCCGTGCCTGCACAATCGTCTTATAGGATCGAAGGATCGCGGCGACTGTTACGCTACACTAGCATAAAGAGAATGAAGCCGTAAGGGAGACATAAAGAGAAGAAGGTGTCGTTCGGTTGAGGTTACGTGAGGTAAATGAAGATGGAGGTCGAAGGTCGGCTAGTAGTGCGAGAAGAAAAGGGCAGACAGAATGAGAGGAGGGAGGAGGAGGAGGAGGAGGGAGGGGTCGATTGTGGAGGCACGGCATCGAGCACTCCATGGTTGTAAATAGGAATATAGAGATACTCTCGTGTATATATACGTATACGTACATTAGAGAAATACGGAGAGAGCACCTGTAGGCCTTCGTTTCTAAGTTGTAAACTAGTTACTATTATTATTTATTACCGTTAGCCGGTCTGCCGGAAATTGCGAGAGCTGCGCAGTTTTTGTAAATACGAGAGCGCCACGAGGATGGCGAGCGGCGACCCAATGCGAGCGTGTGTATGAGATGTGTACGGTGTGTTAAGTATGAGAAAAAGAATTGAGAAAATAAAATTACTTTGCTGAAAAATTTGACGAGGAGTGGTTATTAACCCGGTCCGCTGTATCCCAATCCTTTGAACCCGACACTACGTAACGCTACAACACATCAGACATAACGTTATTCAAACTTTAAGTCTCTCTATCACTTTCCCAGATCATTTCCCTGTCACTGTCATCTATAGTCACATCTCCTTAGCTCCCCTTGTCGAGCTCAAATCGATTAGGGCGAATCGTTCGATTTCAAAAGTCACGGGAATCATCGTCTAGCTCGGTCTGTCTCTCGAGTACACTCACTCATGGACACGGAATAACCACTTCTGTGTTCAAAGTTTTTCTGACTGATGGTGGCGCGAGAACTGAAGTCGTGGTTGGGGAAGCTCCGAGTTCAACAAAAGGGAGGAGACGCCTCGTTGCGATAAAGGCAAAGGTAAATGGCGAGAAGAGGAATGAGGACGGGCGGATGCTACTTGCCCGGAAAGCGTGTGTTCTCATATTGTTGTACTACGTCACCTCTGCTCCGGAGTGCGATTGCTGGTGCCCACCCTTCTTTTCACGAAAGATCTCTAATTTTGTAAATGGACTAGAGTGGATGCCCACCCTGTTCCTGCCTATCTGCCTATATACTCGTAGCCCTCCGGTAGACCCTTCGCTTTTCTTTTTTTTTCCCTGACTTCTGAGAGCCTCAGGCTGACACCTAGAGACTCTACATCTTATCATCTAATACCCTCTTCCATTTTCATCCCTTGATCCGTTTTCGTCTTTATCTTACTGATCTTCGTTTTCCCTGTTACCCTTCCTGAAATTCTTTACGTGATTTCCGACGGATATCCGACGGTCAAGGAGCCCGTGTCAATTGAAAGCACGATACGCTCCGGTTTTCAAGAATGACATGAGTTCAGCTGGAATTTTCACTTTCGTTAAAAGTTTCTGGGTACTCTCGCTAACTCGGCATCCTCGCAATTCGCGAATCCACCTGTTGTTCGCCGCTGTTACCGGAGGATCTGCTCACGTTACTTCGATATAGAACTGGCGAAACGATCCTGCCAGACTTAGGCCTAATGCAATTGCTGCAATAACTAACAATTAGCAGGACCTGACGGTTTCCACGTGTACCCACGATGTCTCTGTGCACGGAACCACACGATAACGTGCTATACGGTTCGCATATGTGCACGTACGTATATATATTCTGGAGGAGCTAATACAGACCTGGACACTGGACACGTTGCAGAACGTAGAACAGGTTGGGCGCGTTAGAGACAACCCATTAGCCTTCCTGCTCCACGCTATTACCGAACGGACATATTGCTTCCTGGAGTTGCTCCTGGACCAAGTCGCGTCCTCTCTGGTTATCCCTGAAAACGTAAACTAGCGAATCTTTTTAAAATTTCTCCTACAGACCCTTGAACTTTTTCAGGAATTGATCCACCAGTCTTAGTGGGATATTCCCTACTTTACTGATCGTGGTATAGAAAAAAAAAAGTTTCCTCAGATAACTAGACACGTATTTAAATACTTTAGAGCCTCCTTCGAGACGGTAACTTAACTGAAATCTTCGACTTTCCGTAGTCTAGTTAACGAGACCACTCGATTTCCTCAATTTCAGATCGTGAACTAAACAACTTTGAGAGTCAGTCAACAGGAAAGTTGCTGAAAGATGGTATTTAAATTGACTTCGTCAAAGCAAGCCATCCAACCTTGGCGTAACGGCCAATCGAATCTACAGAGAGAGGAAGATATATTTAAAATCGTTGGTACTATGCATATAAATCGGAAGGTCTGCTTTCATCTTGTTAAATCAGACTACTATATCTTAAAACTCTTTCCGTGCCGTCACAAGAAAAGCACAGCCCTCCGCAAGCAATCGGCAAATTACAATGCAATTTATAATCCGACAAATGAGGGGTTAACCAGTTGACGAAGCGGTTCGATAATTTCGAGACGTGGTCCCAGGGTGGCGATGGCGTACACGAGGATTGCGAGAGTAGGAAGGCGGCGAGGGGGTACGAGAGACCAGTGATAGTGAGATAGATTGGGGATTGCGGCGCACCATTTACCCGTTAACGCGATATGCCCTCAGCTTGGAAACGTGGACGTAGCTATCATGAGTATCCGAGGACGAAGAGCCGGTGCGGAGTGTCAGGGTGCACTTTGACGAAGGCGGAGCTAGAGGCTGAAGTATCTGCTAGCAAGAGAGACACAGAGAAGACTGCCTCTGGCTTTACCTACCTCGCATCTACCTAACCTCTGTATAACGTGGTATATAGATATAGATAGCATAACCAGCCCTCTGACCCACGGTTAACTAGGCTAACCGGCCAGGGATTACACCGTTCACACCCCGATTGCGTCAAATCAATTCTCGTTTCGTTGAAGCCCACCAAGCCAACCAACAGCTCATCGACTAGGTATCCTTCCCTCCCATCTTCTTGCCAATCCCGGTTTTACTCGCCGTCAGGAACACGTGTTCCCAAGATCTGCCGATGATTGGCGTCGCAAACTCAAAACAAGCCAACTGTCGGATATATCCTCCAGCTAGACGGAAACGGTTGACTTTCAGAATTTCCTCAGGAACCTCCCTCGACGTCTATTACCATCGGAATGTCTTCATATACATCTATACCGTCTCATAGAAACCCTTATACTGTCGTTCAATACTCCTTTCCTTGTCCCTCTGCTCGTCCCCATTCGCTGTATAATCTAGTGCCTCGTTAAAACCTTCAAGATATTCTGCTTCCTTCTTTATTTGACTTTTACGCCCAGCTACGTACGCGGCATTCTTACGGGTATAGTGTATCTCGCTTAGCCTCCATCCGTACCAAGTCGCGCGATACAGCAGTAAGCTAGCAGTTTACAACGCTAAGAAGCTTTTCCTTATTCGTTCGCCGGTGGCCGGACGAGCAAACGTTTGCAGATAGCATCAGAAAAGTGTAATATACACTGGTGGTGCGGAAAGCGGCGAAGAGGGGGACGGTTATGCCAAGTCCACAGCTAAACCCCACCATATGGATATAGCTTTTCTAACGACGCTTTTCTCCCGCAGATGCTCGACGTAAAGGAGGGCGGACGTGGGGTTTTTGTCTGTAGCAGTCCTGGACCGGATCCTTACACTTCTCAAGACCTCTACAATCCCGTCTACGAGGAGCTCAGTAACGGTAAGATATCAGTCGAGCATTACGTTCTTTATATTTATTCAATCTATTCTATTGCATTTGTATTCGCCATCTCATTTCGTGTTACGATTAGAGTCTCTCCGATAGTTCCATCCGCACGCGGTAATTTTAAAGTTTACCAATCCTCCTTCTAGATGAGAGTTATGTCTGAGGTCATTGAGAGGTAACCACCGACTTTCGGATATCCGGATCGTAGAAAAGTGGCTACTAATAGGTACGCGGCAATCACCGAGAACCCTTGACGGAACTAACACGGCGTTGAAGTGATCATTTTTGATCTTCCCAGTTTAACACACGCCAGCTTCGTTATACCTATTTTCCAGTCAGCTGTAGTTTCGCACGTTGCTCACTCTATTCCCATAGTCTGTTTGTTATGTTTATTATCCACTCTCGATGTGCACTCACGATACGTAATGTCTTTGATAAGCTACGACTTGACTCTCCTATCGGTCAATTGTTAATTGGTACAGGCTAACCAAGGATCGTGATGCAAGTCCAACCCAATCGAATAGTAAGCCGGGACAAGCTCGCACGATCGATACTATAAATGAAATTAATTGAATGATTGATATTAAATATGAATGTAGTCGGAATCTATTCGTCGAGTGGACATTGCCAGTGGATTACTACCAGGTGTTTAGCCGATGAATTGCTTCAGAGTGCATTAAAACAATTAACGGCATCTATCACGAGAACCTTGTCCAGGATGAATAATATCCCTTTTATCGATGCGAGTCTCGACCGCTTCTCCCTGATATTTGCCAGTGCTATCGGTCTGACGATCTTTGGCCATTTCGACATCTGATGGATATATCTATTGACGTACTACAGGAGATCATCCGGAGACAGACGAAGAGAACGAACTCAATGCCAGGAATCGTTTGCATCATCATCATCATCTATCGACCTCCAAACCGGCCAGTGAGGATGAATTTGCCGAGGATGAACTCTCGGTTGGCGAACCTTCTGAAGCCAGGATGCTCACGTCCACGGCACCAGCCTGGGGAACCTGTCCGGCTGCTGCGAGGCCACCCAGAGAACGCAGAGGCAGGAGTCCCAAGAGTTTGGATAGACGTAGAAGAGACAAGAGTCATGATGTTGGCGAGTTTCACGAAGGAATGCTACTCGACGCGTTGCTTCAACTTTATCCAAGTGTTGCGGGTGAGATATTCTAGTTTTTTTTTTTTTTTTGGTTTTCAAGGGAGAGATGAGCCTGCGGTTAGGGTTTCGATTTCATATTGGAAACTTGAGTAGTGCTGCTTCTTTGGATAACTCAGTTACATTTATACTTGACGATCTGGTTGCGTTGTACAATTGATTTCAAAGTAATCTGGACGCCGATAGTTTAATTCCGAAGTTAAAAGAATCCTGTTCTTGTATGATTTCAGGTGTGGCTGGAGCAAGAGCAATGAACAACCAGCGACAACAGTCCGTCCCGTCCGTCGCTCACAGGTTACCATATTTTGTACCGCCAATGCCTGCGGCACAGGCTCTCAGGGTCGAGGAGAATCCTTACGAGAGTGTGCCAGTCCTGGGCCCGCTGCATCATTACTCCACTCAGGGAAGAAGCAACAAAGACAAGTCTCGCAAAGGCGACAAGTACAAGTACAACAATTACGGGCCAGAGTACTATGGCCTTCAAAGTCAGGATAACGTACCTGTTTATACGCAAGTCGGTGGAGAGTACTCGGATACCTATTCTCAACCTAACGATAGACTCTACACCGAGGACAAGTACTCTCAGCCGGTGTACTACACGCCCAGGGATCCGGACCAGATATCCTCGGGTAGACTCTATCAAGGACAACCTGATAGCAGTTTTGGAAGTGACAGCGGCTACAGTCATCACACTACTGGGACAACGGGCACAACTGGTACTCGGGGTAGTAACTCCAGGGCGAATCACAGAAAGGACAAACATCGGAATTCACATCATTCTCATCATTCAGCTGATTATATTGTGTCCTAAGCAATAGCATGGTTCAAAGGATATTCGGTTCCTGGTTCGTGTCTTTGGATATCTCGTTGTGCGAGCACCAGGAAAAACCGCTGCGAGTGAGAAGTGGTTTCCTAGGGGTCTCAAGAAGCCACGAGACTGTATCCTTAGCCGTTGGACTGAAATGCTAGTGAAAAACTCGAGATACAGAAGAGAAAAGAAATATTCACTGTACTTGTACAATAGAAAGAAAGGAAAAAAAAAGAAGTCTAAAATCCGTGATTTACGGTAGGCAATAGGAAACGAAGACTAACGTAGTGATCAGGAACGTGATCTCTTAGTGATTTATAAACAGTATAAGACTATTTAACAAATTGTAATCCAATGAGACTCAGGCTCACACCAAAGGACGCTAAATATTTTAATTTAGCCTAATCGTTTGTAATTTAACAGTAGTGGATGTAGTCGCGATCGCAAGGGCGGCTGTGAAATGTATCGGTAAAACCCGAAGGGTATTGTCGCGACCGCAGGACCTTCGAGAAACTTATAAAATATTAATCCAAATCGAAATTTCATCCAGGCGGAATTTGATGATTTTCGAGGAAACGCTTTACTCTTAATATTCATGTACCGAAATGCTAGAAAAGTCGAGCAATCAACTCCAACTTCTTTTTTTCTATCCATCAAGTAGTCGCTCTATATCCGTCCCGTTTTTTTTTGATGATACAGGGCCAACCTTTTTTCACAGAATCTGTTCAAAAAATTCTGTCTGACTTTCACATTTATAATTATACCCAACAGTGCTATATGTATTTTGACATTTTAATGCACAACGCAAAAGCCACGACGACAGAGTACCACGCCAGCGTTAGAACGACAATGCACGTGGGTACATTGTGCTCCAATGGCGCTTTTTCGCTGAATTTCTATTCCGTTAAGAGAGAAAAAAAGCAAGTATTCTCTTTCCCGCTCTATTCTCTCCTAAAAAGCTTTTCTCAGTCGTCTCACATTTATTCACGTTTCACTGCTAAAGAGAAACATTTGCTTGTTATTATGCGAGGCGCTACACGGTTACTTATATTTTCCTGGTCCCGTTCCATCCCGCTGAGGAAACACATAGCGCACTATTAAAAATTCGATATGGATTTAACTTACGGCGATTCGTCAGTAACGATATCTCGACTGAAATGCCTCTTCCTCTTTCTTCGCCCTATTTCGCAAGGGTGATTCGGCAAGTGGCGCGTGTACATTTTCAGGGGCTCTTCGAGCATCACCCAGGTAGAGACCAATAAAAGGAATTCGTACTAGACTGTACAGTTACTAGAATTCTAGGCAATGCGCGGCCCGTGTACATAAAATCTCCTCCCGTATAGCATAGCTGTACCATATCGTTATTAAAAATAATCGAAGCATTAAATTTAATATATAATTTTTAAATTATTTGTAACAATGGCGTTGTATTACTATAGACACAATTTAAACTAATTTCATTAACGGAAACGAAGAGGCTATCGGTTTTAGGCATTCGAGAATCTTCCTTATTTCGTCAAAGGTTACGGGATACCCGTGAACTCCGTTACAATTAATTTGCCTCTTTGTTTCCGTCAAGTACTTCTCTTTGACTATCTTCAGTATTGTACACTTTCTAGCCACGGTAGTTCGAATACCTCACGAGAGATGCTCTGTTGTATATATAATTTTATATTGTATACCCAAGAGTTGGGTATGTAGGTACGTAAAATAGGATCTAAATGAAAGAAAAGGAAGTAAAATCTGCACGCGAGCGTCCCAACACCCTTTGTCCGTCCTTACATGTCAAACAGCCACCTGCCAGGTCATCGGCAGGTAATACTTCTTCTCTTTGGCTATACCTTTTCGTTTGTTACTTTTAAGATATAATTCGTAAAAAATCATATTCTTACGATCAATGAAGAAAGGCGAACAGAGGGTAGTCCGAATCTCAATCGCAGATTTGAAATGTGAATTAAGGATGGGATTGTACTTATCATACATAAGATATACGACAAGTCGATCGAAATGCATTGAATCAAAGAATGCATTAACCCGATCAGACTGCGCGTGCGCGAGTGCTGCTTCGCTCGCGATAATTAAGAGTGAATAAGACACGAGATACACAGAAACAAAAAAAAACGCTTTTGTACCTTTTTGCGTCCATGTTAGTCGAAACGTACGTTTGGAGAATCGTTTTTTTATAATGCCCGCGAGTCCCCTAAGTTATTCTTATTTATACATATGATGAATATATATAAATACTATAAGTATCCCAGCATATGTGTAATCGATTCCTACATAGTTTTCGCAATTGCAAATTGTTATATTGAATATTATTGAATGGCGCATCAACGCCAATGAAGTCCCGCGACTCGTTACAGTTGATTTGTAAAATCATGTTTTCATTTTTTTTTTTTTTCTTCCTAATCACGATTCCTTCGTTATGACGGAGAGAAATACACGAGAGTGAGTTTTTTTATATAATGAAATTTTTTATTTATTACGGCCATAGGTGTTACACGCGCGACGTTGTTGCTCGCGACGAGGACCTATCGGCGTGTCACGATTCCCGCATTTAGCGCTAATTTTAGATAGCGAACGACACACAATATAATAGGCACTAGAGTACCTCGGTAACAGTAGCGCTCTTGAAAGTTAGCTTGCACGGGCGTTCTCTCCTTTGCCATCGTATCTTTTGTAAGGTAACTTCGTGAGAGTCAATAAAAGGGGAAACAAGAAAATACTTAAACACGAAAGACAAAAGCATGCGAACAATTTGAAATTAAACGAGAAATGGACCAAAGGTATGGGAGGTGGAGAACAAAAGAAAATATGTGCAAAGAGTTCGGAACAAAGGACTAAAGACGAGAGAGGGACTATTGATTTATGATGGAAAGGAAGAACACCAGCTCGCAGAACAGGGTAACTAGTTCTAACATCTATCTCTAGATCACTTAAATCTAAATCACTCGATCACCTGACGGGTATCACCTAACCTAACTTAAACACTATCACACCTTCGTACTAATAAACAATTTACTATTCAATTTCATCATTGTCTTATCACTCGTGTCACCTAAAAATCCTATGTAATATCGATCTGTCTAAGAAATCTACCCCTATTTTATTATTTAGGAACGACATGGCTGCTGATGGGAATTCAAAGAATTTTCATCCTGGAGTTGATTGGCGGAAATCCGCAATATACGTGCATTTCTATCCTGGTAAATGATCCTGCCTATTTATTAGACTGAAATTGAATGGGATCCAAGCCGAAACTGGGGTTTCCAAAAATAACAAAAATCTAATTACGTATTGTGGCGTAGCGAGGAGGACGCGCAGAGAGCCATGGCGGTTGGGAAGATTTGGGGTGTTGTAACGGACAGCACCATCCATCATAATACCGGAGCCTCTTTCACCCCTTTTGGTGGGAATCGAGCGAGCCGCTACCACGAGAACGGGAATGCGCGAGGGATGCAAAGAAAGCCGAGTAAGCAGACGCCAGAAGGGAACCAGGGACTGAACTTTCACTTCAGAGCCAGGGTCTAACTAATTAGCCACAAAATAACCAGAGGTGAAAACCCTGGACCCTCTTCGCTCTACTTCCGCCTAGTCAACCTGCTCCCCGTACTCTCCCTGGTCGATGGCTTTCTTACCACCCTTGCTTCTCTTCCCTTGCAGACGCTTTCGCGACTTTTTATATATTCAAGATCGGTTTTGATCTTCATAACAATTGAATCGACATCGAAGAATCGCTTCCGAGTAGTCTTTTTCTCATAATGAGTTTTCTCTTTTGATCATTCCGGGCGCTTGGCAACAGAATATCCGGAAGCACCACTCCACGATTGATATTGAAGCAGCCTCGCAAAAGAGGCGGACAAAAATTTAATTAAACCCGGAGTAATGAGAATATCAGAAAATCAGCACAACGGAATTACAATACAATAGACTTCAGCAGTTTCCGTTTCCGGTTGCCTGGTTTATTCTTCGCAAATGACCAAAGTGGTTTCGCTCTTTTTTTTTTGAAATACCATTAGACAACAAGGGACTGGTCGAAAACAAGAGTAAATCGAGTCAAAAATAGGGGCTGGTACGAATGAGGCCGAGGATATCGGTAACTGCGAGAGCAGCATGACTGGGCGTTCGTTATGATCGATATTAATGAAAATTGAAAACAATAGCCGACTACACGAGTTTCGCATTAAGAACCGTTGTTATTCCCTTGCAGTAAATTATGCTTCTCATTGTGATTGATTGTTCGTGGTAAAATCGGCGAATCTCGGATGTGTAGGCGACGGTTGTTAATTGCGTATGGAGGGTATCGAGAAACGGCCTCCGTGGCACGAGCCTTTTCTTCCCTAGAAAACACCTCGTTAGTTCCTCCCTACTTGCTTTACCAGTAACTCGCTCTCTCGCAAGTCACTAATGAAATAACGTTGAGCCCACTTAAGTTCACTACAATAATAATTACAGGAAATCGCATTGACAGTCGCTCACGGGTTAGTCCGTGATAAGGCAATTTTTCGAAATGATTCGAGGTTAGAGAAAATACGAAAAAAAAATGAAGAAAAAGATTAAAAAAGAGAAAATAGAGGATACTACATAAGCTTCGGATAAAAAGTACAAAGGGCATGAGAAAAATAAGAGAGGCTGTTTATCGAAGAAAATATTACTCTGGTACAAGGAAAGGGTTAAGAAAGAACAATAGCAAAAAAAGAAATTTCTACCCTCTAGTAAGGTCGCACTGGGACAATTTTCATCTTGAGAGTTTCCAGATTTAAGAATGCACTCCTGCCCGCTATCAGCCCCATCGTTACCGCTATGGCCCAGTTCTTTTTATATTTTCTCTCTTTGCCTTTGGACTCGCGAGATTAGAGACGTTGCTGGAGATGAGTACAGGAGCACACGGGAGGCTGTGTGTCGTCTCGGCTGGTTAGAGAGAAATGAGAGAGAAAAAGGAGAGCCTGACAACAACAAGGATAAAAGCCGCACACTCTAATTGTGCACTGCTCGAGCAGCCCTGCTTGAGGGATTTTAAAAGAGCCCAGAGTTCCATACGCGACACCGCAGCCATGTTTCACTGGTATCCATCTCCTCACCTGGTTCACGTGCTTACTTCGTTATACAGGTTGCGCAATGACATGCTACCCAGACAAAGCTCAAACCTTTTTCGTGCAATAATCACTTCTTGAGGACCCTGACTTTCTTACAAGATGTATAAAAGAAAGTTGACTTTGATCTCATACTTTACTATTTTACATCAGCAGAATGAACTCTATCCTAACAAGCGTCAAATTGTCTCATCCTCCACTGACAGATACAGCTGTCACGATTGTGCAATTATAAGACGTTTTTAACCGGATGTTACAGAAATTTACAAAGTGAATAAAGCTCGAGACTTCCGGTGGTTCTGTGATGAAGTCATTCGTATATGCTATGGTACGTATATAGATATAGATAGTTTACCAGCCACGCCAATCCAACTTTTACGTAAATACAAGAGCGCTCGAACAAAAGCCAGGCGCTTGACAAAACGTGGATTCTACAACCGCAGTGCTAACTACTAGCTAATAATTAAATGCACCGGCTATCCTGAAGCCGTCGCTTAATCCTTTCGTTATTCGCAATGGCTATAACGTTGGCGTAGGTTATTTGTCGCTCGGCTACCAAGAGAATCACCGTTCGAATCGTTGAAAGGATATTCCCTGTGTGTGAAAAACTGAAAAAGACTCTTTCAAGAAGACGCGGTGTATACTATCTTAAAAAATATTTCAAGCTCTTGACGGTGCACACGCCTTAGAATTCCGGCAGTGTAGCAGAAATTATGTGAACCGTTCGTTCTATAGCCGCTTCGTGGTCCTGGGCTGTTTTTATTGGTACGGAAAGTGATGGTAATTAATAATGGTGAGGTACACCGTGTAGGGTATAAGGTACGTGGTGTGATTTATGGAGGCGTAATGAACCTTGTGCTCCGCTGCGGGAGTCTCGGCCAAGGGAATCAGGGAGCAACGCGAAACTACCCAGGCGTAGGGTGAACGAAGTAGTGGACGAGGGTGAGGATGAGGAAGAATTTGAGCAGGGCACGATTTCGTCTTCAGGTGCAATAACGTATGTCCGTCGAAGTAGGAGCCACAGCTGCTGAGGACGTCTTACGTCTAACGCAACACATAACGCAGCAAGGCGCCCGTATAGACATACAGCTATATCCCTTATATGCAATCACGCGAAAAAGGGGGAAATACGAAAATAAAAATTTTATCAAATAGAGATTGGATGCTGTGAAATTTTACCAGAAAAGAAAGACACGAGCAGGGACGTGCGCAAAAAAAAAAAATTTGCATTCGTAATTGATTTTTTGTTCAATGCCCCACAGGTAAATAATCGCAATGAATAAAATTGAAGCAGAGCAGAATTTCCTGGATGCACGATACCAAAGCACGTACCTATGAGCACATTTTTAATGTTAGGTTAGGTTACGCGAAAAATCCTTGGCTCAAGTAAAATTTATGCCAGGCTGACCAAATGGCTCGACTTCGATATTCATGGACGGGAGTATATGCATCCTGAGCTTCACTGCTTTATATTCCATGGCCGAGCAGCTCATAGTTATACGTATCATATATTCTTCGAAGAACCCGTTCAAACATTCAAGGAAATGGAGAGAGAAGGTAGTCGAGCTTCCCTTAGGTCTACAGTAGATAGAGCCTGTATGCATATTGCTCAACGAAAGTATTTATTCGTATCTATCTTCCGGCTACTGGTAACTTACGATAATACGTCTACCAAGCGCTGGTACTTACCTAACGCAAAGGTAATACCGATCGATCGGTCTGGTTTCTCCACACGGAAACGTTTACCTACCCGTCCACTTTCAGCGTCCCAGCTATTTCTTTTCGGGCTGAATAATCTCCAGTGAGGTTATACAGCGATGATACTAGGGCTGCCTGACCTCATTTGCAAAGCATTAACTAACGATGAAACAGACCAAAGGATAATACCAGTAGATACCCAAACCCGGTATAAACGATATATATGTATATGTATATTCTAATTTACATTTTACTACGATTTAGGAAAATAGTTATTCACCGTGTAAACCCCTCACAGTAACATTAACCAAGCTTATATATATGATTTTTTTAACGTACCAGGTAATTGTACTACGGTTCTTGTCTTTTTCTACGCCCGGATATTTAATTTGAAAAAATTTACAAAATTGCCTAGTCTGGTTCCCGCACCTAGTCCGACCCGATTCATTTTCATTTCTACCACCGACCCACGTACAGCTGTACAAGCCTGGAATTGTTCTCTCAACGATAAAACGAAAGAAGTGGACCGATCACGTGAAACGCCAGAGGTGACCAATGTTCGTTGGCGATCGACAATTTGACTGTGCTGTAAGTATAGAATGGGAACTGTAATCCAAAGGCCACTTAGTCTGTTTCTGCGATATCGATGCTCTACTGGACAAAGGGGTGGTCGGTGCTCATTTACTTAATTGCGTCTATTAGTCGACGGCCAATGGTCAGTCCGACAGGCCGTACAGGGGGAAGGCGACGGGTAAGGGGTAGAGGCAGTACTTCCCATTGTGCAAATTATCATTCGTGGCCGTAACGACTCTGAAAGAAGAATAAAAGTGCAGAGATCGGTGCGGTGAGAATGCGCCAGCACGGTATGTGACGTGCCGGTGAGTATCGCGACAAAGCGGAGCCGCACGCATTCCCGCTACCCTCGTATCCTGGAGTTTCGTTCGATCTTCGGATATACGCCGCAGCCTTTGTCACGGAACTTTACGGGGGATAATATAAGGATATAACATTAAAAAGCTCTCATGGCTTTCACCAAAGTTGCACGGCGAATGAATAGACACGATGAAAAATATTTCGAGTTACGCTTCTCTTTATATATATATATTTTTTTTTATTTTTATTCAAGAGCGGTTCCATCAAAATGCATTGTTATACAGGTCCAGGAATAATTAACAAAATGTGGCCAGCCGGCGGCCCAACGGGTATTGCGAACGATTGTCGCTGAAACGCAGTTTTCACCAGTAACGCCGCCAGTGGAAATAAAGAAATAATCGCGGGTTATTATTTATACGTGAGCAGCCGCGTTGTACAACATTTCCGACAGCGCGGTAAAACAATGGAGGACGGTTGAAGCTAACGAGAGACCCGAAATAAATGGACTTCTAGCGTTATCGATCGAGATATGTATTATTACGAATTTTCCAATGGAAGATCGTCAAATGAGGATTAAATATATTTATTAAACTTTAAATAAAGAGTCTCACCTCTGTAAGCCCGATCGATATAGCTGACTTTAAATTCAGCTTGTGCTTAGCGATGAATGAAGATTTTAAATGACTGGCGGCTCATCTCTTGAAAGCGAAATAACTGTCGTGAGAGTGGCGGGGTCAGAAGAAAAAAAATTGCGCACTTGTACCGTTATGAATCGCTCTCAATGTAAGCTATTCGGATGTGCACATTTATGTATGCAGCCAGCACCGCAGGTGAACACTACGTGCAATATAACCGGTGACCAAAATAGAGTATCATGGATCCACTCTAATTGCTTCCTCGTTTATTATTCCATTAAGTACTTTAGTCTCACCACTCCGTAGAACAGTGTCAAGTTATGTACGACGTGAATTATTCAGCGGGGGAATGTAGCTTTAATGACCATATATGCGCAGATTTACTCAAACTTCATTGTTGCCACTGTTCGTAACGAGCGAAATATGCCATTTGGTTGCATCCATAACAATTTCTTCTTATAATGATTCCATCTCGTGAAATGAACCATTTCGGTCGCTGCATTAAACTACAATCCTTTTGTTACGTGCGAATCATTATTGATAATTACCGGTCTGTGCTTCGTGGCTTTTTTTATGATTTAGCGCGCAATTCGTGAAAAACTTCCGGATTCTCTACATTTAAGAAGAGGCATTTGAAGATGTCGTTATAAAAATTTGAATAGTATTCGCAGGCTCTCTTGCAGTCCGGTGAAAAATTCACTTCCAAAAGAACTGGTTGTATTTCTTCGTTCTTCCATTCCAGCATTAGGTCAACTGCGTAAACTGCTCTACTTTGAGGATTATGCGCTATTCCCTTTGGCGGTTCCGCAGCAATGGCGGCCTCGAAAACATCTCTTAACATTTCAAAAATCTTTGGTTCTGTGGATTCTTTCCATGAGAAATTGGGATATTGCTTTTCCCATTCTTGAATGAAATCCACACACTTTATGTGACAGAGCGGAGTACCTTCCGCGTAATTCATTACTGTAAAATGTTGTTCGTAAACGTCGAAGTTATTTAACGCGAATTCCTTGTTTGCAAATCTTAGAAAAAAATTTGAGTAAGCGTAGACTTTTAATGGTTTTATGGATTTTAATAGCACGATGTATCTGACATCGAATTTGACTTTGCCTATGTCTGATCTTGTGTACAGGACTGGATTAGATATATATTTTTGAACAATCTTTGGTCCTGTGCTAGGTAATCTTAATATGTAAAATAAGTTATTAGTAACATGGGTGTCTAATCCTCTTGCTAGATTCCATGGTTTACATATCCAATGATTCTCCAAACCTTTGGATTCTCTTTGTTGGTAATAAGAGACAAATTTTACTAGCTCCGTAACTAAATTAAATGTTGTTGGCACCCAAGATGGATATGTTTCTAATGTTTCTGTATCGTACTGTCTGTCCATTGCTTTTCTTCTGCATATAATGGACAGCAAATCTTTTATTGTCAAGACATTCTCAAATGGAAATTGGTTTATAAAAACATGAGGGGAATTAATACTCAGTTCATTGTAATCTTTGAAATGGCGTGTCAACCACAGAATATCCGCGTCCTGTGCGTTATTGACAATTTCAAATTCAGAATCTGTAAGATATTCATTAACGAATACATACTGTGAAAATACTTTCAGTTTTACTCCGGGTGGACGACGATAACTTTCTACGTCTATTGCCTCAGGTAAGGTTTCTTTGATATGACCTGCTAAAAAATAGCTTTCATCTGGTTCGGTTCGAACGAAACTCTCGTCGATGAAAGAACTGTCTTTCCATGGTAAAAGTAGAGCTCTTTTCTTCTCAGGATCATTTGTTTGACCTTCTACAAAGTCCCTGGTAACTTCTTCTTCGTATTTTACATCTTTTATAAGAAATAAAAGGGTGTATGTAACTCCTTCTGGTATATAGAAGAAAGGTATTGCTCTAAAGTTTGGTTCATCACTGTGATTTATTGCCGAACCCAATTCATCCATGATATACCAAATTGGCATTCGATCCTCTATTGTTGCAGCATTTCCTAAGCTGAACGACTGGTTATATCTCCACATTTCGAAAAGTACAAATTCCATTTTCTCATCTTCAGCCCTGTCACTGTCAAAACCCATGAGATTACACATACGTTCTAAGAGTCCTGGAACTTGAGACAAATGTTGCCTCGCATTATTCGCATCATAGGTCCAAGCATGATCCACCAAATAAATATTATTTGGATCTTGAGCAGAAATTCCATTTTCTACTGAGACTAGCAATGTCCATATAGGATCTGTTGGATTTCTTTCAGAATCTTCATAGTCAATTCGTGCGAGTTGAAAAATAAGACCAGAATCAAAAACCTGGCCACTTAATTTCTTAAATAATGTCTCCCAAAATATTTTGGGAACTCCTGATGAGTGAAGCTGTGGTTGATGAATTTGTAGGAATTGATGATAAAGTCCAATACCATCCATACTGTACAATTATTTTCTGTAATAACAAGATAAGATTCCTCGATATCGTTTTATTAGACGTATGAAATGCGAAGCGAAATCAAATCAGAATAAGTATAAAACAATTCTTTATCATGCACAATTTTACAAAAGACAAATGACACATACAGTAGCTTTATTTTGTTAAAAGGCAATACAAAGACATTATATTCGTGCTAAAATTCGTACCTTAGAATTAATTAACTACAATTAAATTTTAATCATCAACTCGTATTCGCTCAATACTTTAGGTTAACTTAAATCCAACCGAACACGTGCATTAAACTTTATATCAGATTCATACGGTCGTTAAACGTCAAGTGAGCAGCACCATTTGGCATTTATAAAGGCTCTATCACATTCTTCAAAGTGCGTTCGAGCAGCGTTCCGACCAATGGTACAACGCGTTCATAGGAACTCATGTTGAGTACCATTATTTCTTAAGAATCCTTTCTAACAGATTATTGGTTAGCTCTAAAAGAAAGTTTACACAATGTCCAACCGCAGACCCAGCATCAATACTACAATTTTAGTATATGTATAAATTTATAGTACAAATTAGGAATAGTATTCCAGGCACATAAATACTCTAGAACGAACAGATTTAGGGCCGGTTCCACAAACACGGTTTATCGTTTAAACTTCTTTTATCTTCAAAATACAAATTTCTGATTGGCTCGTAGCGGAGATAAACCGAGTTTAAACAATAAACCGTGTTTGTGGAACCGGCCCTTATTAAGACTCGATTTAACTTAACTGCGCAATTAATATATTAAACTTGTGTTGGACAAATCGGGCCTAAGCTCTAACAGAATCAAGGTTTTTTTCAAAATAACAATTGTGAAAAACTTAAAATTAGTCTAAACACACTTAAATTGATCTAAAAAATAAGTAAATAAATATTTTTTCGTATTTGTATTAGTAATTTTAACAATTAATTAAATGTTAGGTGAGAAGGTAATCGGATTTTACCGGATATTGGTTCACATGTTAGTCACAATGGTCGCCTGAAGCCTTCCTATTGCCGCTTCTGTCGACACGAAGCCGGGTTGAAATAATAATCAGGTATGTTTTAATGTTAATTATTTACAAGAGATTTTTCATAGGTCACACCGAGGTAAAAAATTGGGTTTCAAAATTATTTTGATTATAGTATTATCAAGATTTGTAAATCTATTATTACCTATTTCTTTATGAGAAAGTAATATACTTCAATGAGTCTAGACCGCGCGCTATAGAACTACACGTGGGGTTTTAATGCGATAGTAATTTCAAACTGTTCCTTAATATATGAAATAATACATTCATTACAAATCATTAAAATTTTTACGTGCAGTTTAGAAAACAGCATTGATAGACATATTTTTTTTTATATATATAACGACATAGGTGTGAGCAAATTTTGAATAGAATTTTTTTTCTTTTATAGTTTTTCAGAATACGTTCCGTTAAAACCGTAAGAATGACCAAGGTGAAATCCAGTACGAAAAAAGAGCCCAATACGCCGAAGGGAAATATCAAAAGTATTAAAGAACCAGTTATTGGTAAAAATAAAACGCCAAAATTCAAGAATACACCTACAGGCAAAGTAGCTCTGATCAATGGCTCTACTCCTAAAGGCGATGGAAAGAAGAATTCATCAAAGATATCTGCACAAAATGGTAAAGGGCAGAGTCCTCAAAATAAACAAAACAATTCCAACGGTAAGCAGAATTCACCAAAGAATAAGAAGAAACTGACTGTACAAGCACAGAAATCACCTGGTGACAAACAGAATATTAAGAAAAGTGGTTTAAATCTTGAAAGTGAAAATGATTCTGATTCTGATATAAATGAGGGAATTACCATCAAGGAAGAAGTTAGTGGTATTGAAGACCATGATGAGAGCGATGAAGAAGACGATGATGATGAAGATAAACCTGGGCTGACTGATATTCTAGGAGATAGTTTGGCTAATGAATCAGATGAAGATGATGATGATTTTGAAGAGGATGATGATGAGGATGAGAATGACGACGCGTTAGATACAAAACATAAAGGAGTGAAAATGTTTAAGGGGTTGAAAACACAACAGATTGCAGAGACGATTGAGAGCGATAAGGATGGCGAAGAGGACAATGATAATGATGATGACGAAGATGATGATGATGATGATGATGATGATGATGATGATGATGATGATGATGATGATGATGACGACGACGAGGAAGAAGAAGTAGAGTCAGGTCCAGGACTCAAGGTATTGTTAGGAAATAGTCTTGCTGATGATGATGATGATGACGACTTTGATGAAAATGATGAGGATGATGATGATGAAGACATTACTGATGAAGATGAGGAAGAAGAAGAAGCTGCTTCCCCAGCTAAGAAACAGAAACAATCTCCAACAATTATAAAGAAGAAGGTACCAGAGGATAGCATTGACGATGATGACGACGATGATGAAGAAGAGGATGAAGATGAGGGTGAGGGTGAAGGTGAAGGTGAAGATGAGGATGTTGATACGCCTCGGCTAACAAAAGAAGAAATAGAGGAACGTAACAAAAGAAGTATATATATTGGCAATGTTCCAAAAGATGTAACAACAAATGAAATTAAAAAAGTTTTTAGTAAATATGGACCAATAGAAACTATTCGCGTCCGAGGTGCTATACCAGAAAATCCAAAAATGTCATTTAAAGGAGCTGCCATAACAAAGAAAATTCATCCAAAAGTTTCTACTATTCACATGTTTATATTGTTCAAGTCGGAAGAAAGTGTACAGAAGGCTTTGGAAATGAATGGAAAACAGTTAAACGGCAATTTTTTGAGGGTAGATATATGCAGAACAGTCAAAGATGGTTTATATGATACAAAAAAGGCTGTATTCGTAGGGAATCTACCATTTGGTAAGTCTTGAAATGACAATACACATAATGTGAAATATTAATGCTAAAAGTAAATTATCAACTATGTGTGATTTTAATGTTTGTTTCAGATGCTAACGATAATATGATATGGACGCACTTTGCGGACTGTGGCAAAATTACCTCCGTGCGTGTTGTAAAGGATAAACAAACCGGTGTTGGTCGTGGTTTTGGTTACATTAATTTTGAGACTCCTGACGACGTAACCCTTGCTTTGAAATTAGACGGTTCAAAGATTGGAAACCGTGAAATCAGAGTAAAATTGTATGAGAAAAGGGCACCCAACAAGAACTGGCAAAATAAAGGAGGCAAAAGGCAGTTTCAGGGTAAAAGACAATATGGTGGATCTCCTAAGAAATTTAAAAATGATTCGGGCGACAGTAACCAGTCTAGCCCAAATGACCGACGTAAAGCAGGACAGCGGTCTCAGGGTGAACAACAAAGACAAAACACTGAGGGAGGAAGTCCTCGTGGAAAAGGCCGTGCTTCATTTCAGGGACAAAAAAGTGATGTAAAAAAAGTGTCGCAAAAAGGCAAATTTGAGAAGAAGAAGAAGATCATGGCTGCCAAATTAACGTCCAAACCGAAAAAGCCAATGGCGAATTAATGTTAGCAAGGGTTTCTGTTATTTAACCTTTCATATGTTCACCATCTCTTATTTGTTATATCATTTTGAGGCATCTGAACCTTCCATGTACTCTTTATCTTACAGCGATTTAAAGTATAACGTAATTTTATTTGTATCATTTCCATTAAAAATGTTTACATATGTGTCTGCAGTAAGTGTGAATGCTTTGATGGAATGTATATAAATGTGTCAGTGAGTGGATGGTATGCGACATGTATTTTTCAAATACAAATTTTAGAAGTCAAGAATACCTCTTCTTTTCTTTAATGTACATATAATACCTAAATGTTCTCACTTTGTGCCAAACTTGTTATCTTATTATGCAATTGCAGAGGAAATTGCTTTACATTATTAAATGCACATTCTTTACAAAATCGTTTAGTATAAAAAATGCTACATCCTAAACATACGGATTTGTTACATACACTACAGTCACCACCAAGAACCAAAACTTCTCCTCTGTTTGGTAAACTAAAAGGGTCTTTCATTATATAACAGTTTTCGGAATAACATATCTGCTTTGAGAAGGGAGGTTGCGATCCCTTATAATCGAAATGTTCATTTAAATGACAGAAAAAACACTTGAAAGTTCCACCAGGATCCTTTTTGTCATCTGCTACTGTAGTGCTTGAAGAATTCTGATTCTTGGAACCACCACGTGTGTCTTGCGACGTACTAGCCTCCTTGTCCATCCTAAAGGATAAATAAAAATTTTGAAAATAAAAATATAATTGAAATTTTGCTTTTATATAATAATTTATTATTACAAGCATACAACAGAAATTACTAAATTTTCTATTGACATCTATGATACAAAATCACAGTGCATTCTATTACGAATTGAATTTACAACGTTTCTTAACTATCTGCTGAGATCTTTTCGTTACGGAGTTCTTGTGCCCACCAAAGTGGTCTTATAACTTTCAAAGTAACGTCCGAAATTATGAGAGTTTTGGCATTTCGAGCTTCTGCTATTCGTATCAATCCTAAACCAAATGTCTTCTCCCTTCCTCTGAACTTTCCAACAACTCTGCCAGTTTCATCATAAATTTTCTCATCATACTCCAAAGTTTTACATGGAATTTGATCAAATATTATAGGCATTAGACGCTTTCGAACAACACCTGTATGATGTGTTCTAGCTGTCAGCTCCTGACCAATATAACATCCTTTATGGAAACTTATGCCATGTAAATAGTCACAATTTATTTCCAGAGGAAATGGTTTGCCTGGAGGTAAGTCATCTATACCTTCTCCTATACCTAGTTTATATCGAAAAGCTTTATAGTTCATAAGATTCTCATTATTGGTTGCAACAGGTCCCAAGTGTTTGATAATTTCATCTTTGCTTACATTTGATTCTGTTAATATTCTCAAACCTAAATCAAATAGTCTTGGATCTTCGTATAGTCTAATATTATCAATCTGTTTACTTGATCTTCTGTTCAATGTGCCACATGGAAGTATTCGGCCCTCCAGTTGCGGTTTACCATATTCACTTATATTGTTTTTATCAGTCGGATTTAAACAGGAATCAAATGCAACCCATATTTTCATGGTATCTTCAAGAGAATCTATATCTACTTTTCGTCGTACTTTAAACATCTTCAAATGCTTTTGTAGCTGGCTTACAATTTGTGAGTCACACTCAATATAATAAACTTCATTTTCTTCCCCTCTATATATGATTGAATCATACATAACTCTACCTTTTATATTTAGAAAGAGAGCGTACATATTTGCAGCCCCTTCTTCAAAATGTCGCATATCATTTGTGATCAATCCTTGTAAAAACTCTGAGACTTTAGAGCCTGCTACTCTTACTAAACTTCGATTCTCAAGGCATTCCAATACTCGTGAAGTTGATTGCATAGAATTATATCTCACTGCATTAATATCATACCAATGAATCCCAATAACATTGGTTCGTACAAGTGGATTCCTCAATAGACGAAGCATGTTCATACTAGATTTATTCATCATTTTCGTGTCAAACTCTTTTTTTACTATTTATGCATTTATTATTATTCTATAGTTCACATTATACATTCGATGACATTACACGTGTGCAACATGAGTGACTGAACATCCAACTAAAATAATTTGTATATTAATCTTGTAACCTCTCTTTCTCTCCAGAGCTTATGAGAAAATCAACGTTAAAATATATATTTAACAAATTAGGCTTACATTCTTCTTGTTATTATGTTCACCGAATCGTAATAGCAATCTTATACGTCAATAAATCATTTTACGTACTCATTTCAGCAATAATATATAAATCTTTAAAACATAGATATCTCTAGCCATTCACCAGAACGACTCACCCAGTATATACAGAAATATCTACTAGTCTTCTACTACTTATCTTCGGTAGATGCACTCTTCTCATTCAACAAGTTACCGATTGATGTAAATAAAAGCAGAAAAGTTAGTACCTAATGCACTCTATACCAAATATTTCAAAACAACTAAGGTACGATGCACTATATATCTAACAATTCGCCAACAATATTATATTGTATGTATGTACAACTTGCCTAAGAGAGAGTAGCATAAGCCAAGTATTCAACATCTTTACGACTTATATCACAAGGGTCCCAATTGTAACATAAAAGCACTCCTAAAGCATTGCTACATATTTCAAACCAATAGACGATTAAAAATCTCTTAGTACGTACCACATAGCTTTCAACAAGGCTAAGAAAACATAGTACCTCTACTCGTAATCAAATAGTCAGCAACTACCAACAGAATTTCGTTCTCCACATAATCCAAGAAGCATAGACGAAGAACAGCCGGACATAGAATAGACAAACGATATTCCTTATAAGGAATTGAAGCAACTTTTCGCAAGACATCAGCAAACCACTCGGGAAAGTCTGGTGAATCGGAGTCCGGGAACGAGTGCCGCTACCAGATGAGTTGAAGAAGGTGGTCAGGATGCTGAGGTGAAGGACAGAAAGTTATCTCATGCGGACGAGTTAGCAAAGTAGTGCCTGTGCGATGCTTGCCTGCCGACAAGGAGTAAACGGGACAAGAGAGAAGGCTGTGCGCGCGCATTCCGAGGCCGAGCGAGCGCGCGTTGCTTGTAAATGGTTGTGTTCTCTGAGAAGAGTCCGTGAGCCAGTGAACGAGTCAGTACTACTAGTGACTACAGTGTCTGGTGGGCCGACGGTCCGAGCGCATCGGTCGTGTTACGTGCTCCGTATTTTCTGACGTCCAGCAGAGTTGAGATCGGGACCCGCGGTTTGCTCGTGTTTCACCGCGAGATAAGGCACGGCTACTCTTGCGATAGCACGAGAAGCCTCCTGGTGTATGTTACGTGACGTTAGTTCGAAACTCCTCGAGAGTTGAGCTGTGCGCGTGCACGCACTGTAATTCGGAGACGACTGAGAACTATGAGTTCTCTAGACTGAAATCGGAACGAAAAGTTCGAAACGTTGTGCTTGATAGTTGGTTGCATTTAAAAGAGGAAGCTTGGAGACTGTTATAAAGTTACTGAAAAATTAATTGCCAAGATGTATTCAGACGGGCACGAAGTAGACGGCAGCTGGGTGCTGCGCGTTTTCGTGACGGATCTTCAGGTCGAAAGAAGTCTTCGTATCAAAGGAGAACTTCATATTGGAGGTGTCATGCTTCGTCTTGTTGAAGATCTTGGTAAGAATATTTTATTTATTGTATAGGTATATTGAATCTGGTGAAGACGGTGCACTTGTACCATGTTATGAATGTTCTATAGGAAACTGAAAAATAGGTAATTTTAAATTTTAGAATCTTGTTTCGATGATATGTCTACACTATTTATTTTTTTAACATTTGTCTATACGGTTCTCTCAGTTGAATGTATTTGGTAAACTGCGTGGGTTGCTTATGATGCAGCAACAAGTTGCGGGATCCGAACGTAGTAGGAAGGCAGGAGGCAAGATCGGTGCGCTTGGAGCTGGTGTAGCGCTCGAGAGTGGAAAAACTGGATGCCCGAACTAGTTTTGCCATGATGTGCGACTCCTTTATGCTAAGGAACTCTCGTCCCTTCGTTCCTGCGACACGTGAAACGATTCAATGCAAGAGTCTCACACAGTTAAACCTTATTTGTGCTTACTCCAAAACAATTTCATCATCAACATACAGACTAAGAGTGCAATTAGTTAAGCATCCGGTACGCCCTCGTATTCTCTTTAAAAGCAACCAAGAAAAAGTCAACGGCAAGATAAATTGATAGGACGAATAAAGTCGAGGCGATCGAGTCAGTTTGTTGAATTAGCCAATTTCAATTAATCGAGCCTGCAAGTCCCTGCGTTCCGTAGCGTGTACCAACGAGCAAGACTGACGCTAACGATTCGGGCTTAAAGGTTCTACAGAGAGTTTCAAAAACAAAAGAAAAATCCTGTGGCATGCATTCCAGATGTGAGGCGGGAGAATTTAAAACAGGATACGAACAGCCGATGCGACGGCCTTTAGCTGTCTTTAAAAGAATCCAAAGTTGGAGCAATTATCGCATAAATTGGTCATGAAATATGAAGTACATAGACTTTACGATCGTGTATACCCGGAGAAAATTCGTGGCGCGAAAGCCCGCACGAGCTCGCCGACTCAGTCCGTAGTACGGTTCTATTCTCGGCAATTGCGATAATAGTTTAAAATTAAACCTCAGCCATGCGTCCATACGAGCCGCGTAACCGGCTCGCTGTCACAGTGTGTATCCTCCGACATTTCAAGCTCGCCTTTTTATTTTGCTCGTAGGTACGGCATCGACACGATTATTTGTATATCTACGTCCGTGTTATGTATGCCCCGGGGTCGGCGTCTATTACCTATTAGTATATTTTCGGCGGTGCGCCGAAAAAGATATTCCTTTTCCTTGCTCAAGCTCATGGACGCTCGCCAACCATAGGTTTATTTTAGCATCGTGCCTCATCTATTTGACTTTCCAACTATGTATGGTGTTTTAAGGCGCTTGGCATTCTCTATGGGGAGCCGCCCGCCATACCCCACGAAAACACCCACCCGCTTTTACTCGCTCCAAGACACCACGTACATTCCTAACCGCTTGAAATCCTCAGGACGTGACCGCGCAACGTACCTCTTCGTTCCTGAACACATATGTACGGTTCTTTGATTTTCTTGTTTCTCCATTCTTATGTATATACGTATATAACTTTTTTTTACATATCACTTTCTCAACTGCCATACGAAGCTGCATACACGTACCAATGGTATTTTCGACAAATCCAGGCAACCTCGTTTCATATAATTACGCAAACGAAAGTAAATCTATAAATGCTGAAACCTGGAGACATTCACTCGTGTAGGCGGCTCGGCGATATTTCACAGCGACAAATCCAGAGACAGGATCACGCGACAAACCTCCTTTCGTTCTCGCTGGAAGAGGCTTTCCTGGTGAAAGGGCTTCCTTTGGTATATCGCATGCGATCATCCACGATAAGACCGTAATCCTTGCGTCTGTAATGTGACGCGTGATTAACTAGTCAATAATAACAGTAATATACTTGGCAACGATCGTTTCATAGAAACGTAATGACTTTCCCTTTTCGATAATTTCATACCGTCCACTCGCATTTACTATGGGTAGTCTCACTGTGACGTCGTCTTCGAAAGACATCCCATTTAGCAGTGTATACGGAGCAGAAGGCTTCTCCTCTTCAGCCAAATGATACGAGTTTAAAGATGAGATTTAATTTAACGCTTGATGCTGGCATTGTAGAGAGCGGATTTGTTGCCGTGAATTCCATTAGGTTTTCTATTCGAAATGTCAAAGAGAGTGAGAGAGATGGAAGATACTGAAGAGCAAGAATATCGAGACAGGTATAGTATCTGGCAGTATCTTTTGTGGGGTGGTCCCTTTGGGTTCTGACCTGACAGGTTACCTATACACAGGTGTCCCACAGTTCCTTCTGGCAGACTGTTCTGCCAATGATAAACATTTATGTAAATGCACGTCTTGGGGCTGTAAGGGAAACACGAGGGGCTTATTTTAAGAACTGAATGTTGCCGAGAAGAGCCGGGAAGTTTTGATGCAATTGGAAAATTACGTTGCCAAGAAGGAAACGACGGGGGATGCATTTATGATAGTTTCGACGCGACGTTGCACTAAGAGGAAACTCTGCACCGGACGCAACAGCTTATAAACGATACGCTTAAGCCCAATATAAATGCATTATTGTCTGAATTACTGAACAGTTGCACGGCTAGGGCAAGTTCGCATTATATGGTAATAAGTCCAGTGCGTTAACGTAACATTTATATTTATTAGGAAAAGTTGAAGCCTTGAATTGGATTTAGGATAAATGCCAGGTGCTAATTCAAGTAGTAAATTCGAAAAATTTGCACTCAATTCTGCAAATGACTATCGCTGTTTATTTATCGTGAAATCAATTGTGAAATTTGAAATTCCGGCCATTTCTATTTACTCGTACTGGTGTGTCGCAACGTTCACTTTGTTTGTCAATATCGTGGAAGTTACGCAAGAAAACAAGGATATTCGTATGGCCGTGTTCCTGAACGTATACGATGCTTTTGTTATATAACGTGACGATATAACTCGCGAAATTTTCAGTGGTTCTCAAATATTCACTTTATCGGATTAACGAAGTATTTCGTTTTTTGAGTGTAGCTCCTTTATTTAATGTACATAATTAAGCTGCGTTGATGTACCTAAGAAGTATGTATCACCAGGAGCAACCTGGTCTCATGTACCGTACGTCAGCAACTGGATGACAAGACCACATTCTTCTTACGTTACTTCTGCGAAATTCAGAAGACTCTTCGACTCCTCCAGCTCTACCAGATCTCCGCCCATTCGATTCTCTTCACCTACTGGCTACCATTCCTGCTGTAAACTTAGCTTGTTCAAATTTACCTGGAACCCTTCGCTACCCCATGGGAGCAAACAAGCATTAACCCCCCGAACCGAGAAAACACGGTTGCTGCGAAGAGGTGTTGTAGAAGGAATTCTTTTTTTTTTTTTTTTCAAAAACTCCTAAACCTCGAACGATTCTCGAAAAACTTCCAGGTTCTTGTCTCAGTGAAAAGTGACGTGACCTGCGGCGCAGGTGGCAATGTTTATAGACGGTTACGACACTAATAACCTGCATGTCTACTTGGTATACTGCAAGGAGGTGGACGAGGACACAGCTGAACTGCGTGGGTAGTGTCGGCTATGCGATCCGTGATTTTTGTGCATTCGCGAATAATAATTACGAGGGCGAACCCAGCGCTGCCTTACGAGCCACTTAACTTGAATTATCTACTCGGCTTACGTGGCGTCGGATTACTGGATGGTAATTTTATCCCTTGAGGATTAGGTACGTATATGTAGGTACGTAGAGGTACCTAGGTGCAGAGGTACACAAGCTACTTGACAGTGGCCTTGTCACAAAATTATGTCAATGGGATCATTTGACGCTATTGATGAAAACTGGTCCAGCGCTGCTATTCTCTGCCGATGGCGTCATCGCGCTTCACGAACGTGTTGGAAGTTCAAAATAATTTGATGTCTGAGATGATATTAAAAAATGAATATTTCATATCTTCGCTCACTTAACACCTATCCGCTGCTTTCCTCTGAGCGATGCCAGCTGGCGCTTCTAGGGGTAGCCTGGGCATTCTAGCGACGTCAGGGAAAGTGGTGGCTGTCGGTCGTGCCGAATCGCGAAGTCAGGTGTAGCGCGACAATTATATTTGCGCGCCGAATTTATTCCAGATGCCAGCACCTTCGTGTCCTCCCACTTATTGTAAATTTTCGTAGCTTCGCGAAGGGATAAGTCTTGCTCTTCCCATTTGCCTGTAGGCAGTGAATACGGAAGCAGCAGGTATTTATAGTAAAAATTATAGAAATCGCTTGTAAGGACGTTATTTTATTAGATTTGTTTTTCTATCACTCTCTTAGGTATTTGGGCCATTGTCCCGTGGTCAACGTAGGACTATTTTATTCGGCTTGGATTTTTATTAGAAGCAAATTACGTACTGGAAGCACACGAGGTGCTGGATATTGGAAGCTTCATGGCTACGGCTGGTTATCTCGATCACGTAAATACAAAAAATTGTCACCACGATTCTCTATGTTAATATATTTTTATATATAAGGTGCGTGCGTAGCGAAATTCAGTAATTTGTCTTAAACGGTATTTATATATATTAAATTCCTTTTATTATATAGCCGCATATCATTGATTATACGTTATCGCTCAAATTGTTCAAAGCTCGTATTCTGGTAGTGTTTTCTCTGTTACTGTGTTTTACCATAAATGTGTAATAGAAAAATAGTGTTATATTACAACACTCACTGAGGAATTAAAAGCATTTATTGTAGTTCACTTCGCAGGCCCGTTTTACCATCTCAAGACAAGGTCGCTCTTACGGTACTTCGTACGCGTCTAGTGTTTCTTTTAACCCGAAGGACCGTAACCGTCATCGGGATCGCAAATTCCGAACCGTGAGGAAATACCGTTACCATTTCCATATCAATGGATTGTACTTGTCTCGCGGACGCGTTGACAACCACGAGAACCGTGTACTTGGGACGCTAAAGGAAAACAGGGGAAAGTACGTTCAGTTTTGGAACATCATAAATCTCATTTGCGAGGGATACCCAGCAGAGATGATACCGCCTGTACAGCCTGGTCCTTTCCGAGAAAGGACTTAAGAAGATTAACCATTGCTCAGGACCTATGGGTTTGACAAAATCATTCATGGACGGTGAGTATTTTTCTTGACAGCTGTCAAGAAAATGGAACTTGTTCCACACTGGCATTCGAAGTCTACTGTAAATTTCTACGTTACCGAGAATCACGTGCTCGCTCATATGTATATTTACATTGTATAAACTGTTAAGCATATTAACGTCTATTAGATTCCTGCTTGAGGAGATAATAATCCGAATGGATCCCTAGATGGTTATCAATCGTGCTAATTTGAGGGTGCTAACTGCTAACTCTCGCACGTGCCTGCGATAAATATCTTAATCTATCCTGTGACGGCTATCGTCAAAATAGTAAAAATATGGTAATCACGTGACAAC